TAATGTGGTGTGCCACAAAACAGTTAGGAAGGAACCTGAAATACAGTAATGTGGTGTGCCACAAAACAGTTAGGAAGGAACCTGAAATACAGTAATGTGGTGTGCCACAAAACAGTTAGGAAGGAACCTGAAATACAGTAATGTGGTGTGCCACAAAACAGTTAGGAAGGAACCTGAAATACAGTAATGGAAGATCTACGCGGAGCCCGCCTGGTAGACGGAGAAATGGTGGTAGAACATGGATTGACATCGTATGGTTTTCTGGACTCCATATTCCCTATATAGCCGATACATTGAACATTTCTCCGTCTACCAGGCGGGCTCCGCGTAGATCTTCCATTACTGTATTTCAGGTTCCTTCCTAACTGTTTTGTGGCACACCACATTACTGTATTTCAGGTTCCTTCCTAACTGTTTTGTATATCAGGATTATTTTGGCAATTAAATTTTTCCTGTAGTGTTATTTCTGGAACCAGTTGAAGCCTAGACATGTTTGATGTTTAGGTTATTTCCTCTTTCCAGACGATAGTGTTGTCCTGTTCCATGAAAAGGCATGGGATTCACAGCCCATGGCGATGGCAGTTAACCTCTGGAGACGACGCGGCCGAAGTATCGGCTCGTCACAAAGAAGCCAAAAGGACGACTGGCCGATCGGTCGACCCTATGTAATTCAAACCTTGAGATTGCCTGGCAGGTTTTTGTACCAGCCATTCAGATTGCCTCTCGCATTTCTTGCACATGTGGGCTGTTCATTGATGGCTTTCGAGAAAGTTTAATGTTTTCCGTAATTTTACATCAATTTTTTTTTTCTGGGGTTACCTGTGCCCAACAATGGCGAAAAGGACTGTTGCGTCATAGTAACCGAAACATAGCTGGAGGTAGGAAAATTAGTAGAACCATGTGCCAAATGTGTCTGAAGGGCCTCCAAGTGCCTTACTGTCTAAAACACAAGTGTTAGGACTTATTTAAGCTTAATCCATTTAAAAAAAACCACCCAAATTTGTTGTTAAGTTAGTTTTGTTTGTTCCCAAGTTTTAAAAAAATGGATAAATTATGCAAATCAGAATAGTTAATTTGAATAAATGTTGTGATTTCAGTTTGGTTCAAAAATATTCTGTTAGCTCATTCAATTTCCTACACGAATTAATATAGTTTATATATGTAAATTAACTTTTTTTTTCTTCGTTGTGCGTATAAACTGTGAGAATCCCCGGCTGAAATTTTTTTTTGCACCAAAACTCCGAAAAGGCTCCGTCTCCAGAAAGTTAAGGTCTTACGGTCAGGGAGGAAGTTTCCCCTCCCCAAAGCACAAAGCCTGGGCCTTATCGTGCAGACCACGTGTGCCCATGCATCATGATCCCGCACTCGCCTGCCTTGTGTACTCCAAAGGAAAGGTAACACCAGTACGTTTAGAACAAAATAGGCTGCAGAAGCTGCTGGATCAGAAGAGTAGTGCTCTATCTGTCCGCCTGTCGGAGCTTCCCTCCTAGACCAGCTGCCAGCCAAGGCGAAGGGCCTGGTCTGCCATGCCATAACATAAGGTTTTCAGATTGCATTTCCTCTTCCTATGATAAGGCTGGTATCCTCCCCAATGTGCTCCTCCGTCCGAAGCCATTGGCACAATATGGGATGTTGGGTTAGTATACGCCGCCTAACAGTCGGCGTAACATAAAACACGTGTAACCAGCTACTGTTATACGGTAGTTTAGTCATATCTGAACAAGACCTGACACAAAATATAATGACTTCAGTCATATGTGACTGGAGGAGTTTAAGTCCATGGGGACGCGCCGATACAAAAAAAAAACACGCTGGGAACAACAGCAGCAAAAAAAAAAAAAAGGAGGGGGGGGGGGGTTGTAATATTCTGTAGATGTGGCTCAAATTGCACAACAGAATTAATCACAATAATGAGATTTGTTATATCCACATTATTTAACTTCTTTCACATCAGGACATTTGTACTTCTTTTACACGAAGATATTTATTTATGTCTTTCAAAAACGCATTGCTTTAAATCTGTTTCATACCTGTAAACACACTTGTGACGTCTTCTGGAAGTGCATATTATTTTAGTCTCCCATCTCACACATGGACATTAGTTAAAATTTGTGTTTTGCAGGCATTAGTTTAAATCTTCTTACACGTAGTTTATTCTTACAAGTAGGCATTAGTTTAAATTTTCTTCGCGTCCTCTTTCATGTTTAAATCTTACACGTAGGCATTAGTTTAAATCTTACACGTATGCATTAGTTAAACTGTGTACATGCCGTGTGTAGAACTCTCTCTGTCTGTATGCCAGCTGCTGTACTCGGTTTTGCCCATGCCTCCTGTGCTGTACTCGTGTCTACCCATGCCTCCCCTGCTGTACTCGTGTCTACCCATGCCTCCCCTGCTGTACTCGTGTCTGCCCATGCTTCCCGTGCTGTACTCGTGTCTGCCCATGCTTCCCGTGCTGTACTCGTGTCTGCCCATGCCTCCCGTGCTGTACTCGTGTCTACCCATGCCTCCCGTGCTGTACTCGTGTCTACCCATGCCTCCCGTGCTGTACTCGTGTCTGCCCATGCCTCCTGTGCTGTACTCGTGTGTGCCCATGCCTCCCATGTTAAACTCGTGTGTGCCCATGCCTCCTGTGTTGTACTTGTGTATGCCCGTACCTCCCGTGCTGTACTCGTGTGTGCCCATGCCTCCTGTGTTGTACTTGTGTCTGCCCGTACCTCCCGTGCTGTACTCGTGTGTGCCCATGCCTCCCATATTGTACTCGTGTGTGCCCATGCCTCCTGTGTTGTACTTGTGTCTACCCGTACCTCCCGTGCTGTACTCGTGTGTGCCCATGCCTCCCGTGTTGTACTCGTGTGTGCCTATGTCTCCTATGTTGTACTTGTGTCTGCCCGTATCTCCCGTGCTGTACTTCTTTGTTTCGGCGCCTTCAGCTAGCCAAAGAACTGCGGTGCTGAAAATGTGCTGGACGACTTCGATCACGTTTTGCAGTAGCATTATTTTGTGCGTGAGCACATTATCACCCCGATTCCCGCCCCACCAGACGGCCACCCGTCCTCTAGCAGTTTCTGAGAACTCGCGCCCTCTCTCTCCCTTACCCCTTCTCCTGCCTGTCCCATCAGCTATGTCCAGATTTGTTACGCGCCAGCTTTCGTGTAGTAGTTCTCAAGCTGTGCAGCCTTGTACACGGGATTATTTGGAGGGGCTGATACATTTGGCGGTAGCTGTCGCTAAGGTGCATTTGGACAGATTCGGTCAGAACAAAGAAGAAGAAGAAGAAGACGAAGAAGAAGAAGAAGAAAAAGAAGAGGCTTCTACTTCTACTTTTTGTTCTTTTCTCTCCCTTCTTCTTCTCCTTCTTCTTCTTCTTCTTCTTTCTTCTTCTTCTTCTTCTTCTTCTTCTTCTTCTTCTTCTTCTTCTTCTTCTTCTTCTTCTTCTTCTTCTTCTTCTTCTTCAGCTTTCCCAGCCCTTGAGGTTCATTGCTGCAGACATCACACTCCTCCATTCATCTCTGTGATTAGTGTTTTGATTCTATTTGGTGGCTGCAAGCGTTTCTAGGACGGACTGTCTATCCTCTTCTAGGTCCTCCCATAGCCTACTCCCTGTCTTCCCCATAGTTTACTCCCTGTCTGCCCCATTGTCAACTCCCTGTCTGCCTCATAATCTACTCCCCCCCCTGTCTGCCTCATAGTCTACTCCCCCTGTCTGCCCCATAGTCTACT